TCCACATGAGTGTCAATTCCCGTCTCCTGGGTGTTTTGTCACCTCCACATCTTCCACACGTGAGCATTTGGTAGCAACACTCTTTGATTGCACGTACTTCTATTAACAAAAGAAATATCTCTGCGAGTTCCTTAGGTACTTACAGAAATACACACTAGTTCAGCGGTAGCCAGAAGGATCTGATCTGTCTGCCTAGCGGCCTTCTGGCAGTTAAGCATTTACTTTAAGGCAAATAAAATGTCAGCCACCATTAGACAGCATCTGGCAACAATATGGCCATTTCATCCCCGGGGATCGACCTCTCCCCCAGAAGAGATGGTACTTGAAAAAGGAGAGGCTTTTGAATGCAGGACCTCCTATCCTTCCCACCCAGGCATGGTGGCTACGGAGTGGGCAGACTGCCACCCACAAAAGGACACAGGGAGCCAGATCAAATGTGAACCTAGGGGCCAAGCTTCCCAGACAGCAGTGACCAAAGGCTGTTCACCCTTGCTCTATGGGTCTGTGGTTAAGGGGGGAGTCTGATCTCTAAGCTGGCCTAGATTAGCTCTACAAAATGTAAAACAGCCTCCACAACCACTTGAAGAAGAAATTGGGCTGACTGAACTAAAAGCAGCAGTGCACTGTGAGTGAAGGGAGATGCTCAAAGAGGAGACCCCGCCCCCTGAGATTCCCCGTGAAAGGGGCAAAACAACCATTTCTTTTGAAAGAGAGGATGAGGATGTGTAACCCTCCCTAAGTGGGAGCTTCAGTTTAGGGGTTCGAGACCACATGGGTGATAGGAAGAGTTAATTTGCAGAAAGATAGCTATAACCAAGCAAGCTGCCCAGACATTTCTTCAATAGTCTGGGCGAATGTATGGTGAAAAAGACAATCCTTGTCAATGGGGGTGGCTCGCTCCTCAAACACAGTGCTAGGATGTTCCCTGTTCTGATTTGGGAGGAATTGTGTTCTTCAAATAAACAAAATGTGATGTGTGTCCTGTTGGGAAGCACATTCCCACTGGGGCACGGCCTCTGTGTGGAACATATGCAGGGTACCAGCTTTACATCAAACTTTTAACATATAGGCTTATCATATTTCTAGGCCTCCGGTTTGACCAACAACATGGCCACATCAATGAAATCATGAGCTTTGTAAAAACAGAGTTCAACTGGAGTGTCAGGAACATTTACTTTGATGAAACAGCTAACATTGTCCAAAAATTCTTACCAACGTCATGGCTTCCCTCTCAAGAGCTACTTTATTAATATTGGTAAAGTCTATCCATATTTTTTTCAAAGAAAAGGCCCTAAAGCTTTAAAGAATAAAATACAGTAAGTAAAAAAAAAAATGTAAATGTAAGAATACTGACACACACGTGTGTTTGATTTCTTTGGTTGTTAGTGAACAGCTCTAACGATGTAGAGCTAGCCTTAAACTCCTCATTCCCCTGCCTCTACATCCCAGGGATGGGATTACATCCCAGGGATGTAATGTACATGGTACATTACCCATGCAGCCTTGGATTGGGCAGCATGCAAATTCTTATAGCTCCCCGAAAAACAAAGAAAGAGTCCCCATGACAATAAAATTTTATCTCTTAATTTTCTTAGTCTCAGTTTAATAATGCCTTATTACAATGTTAGAACACTAAGCTAATACATAGTTTTAATGACTAGGAAAGTGGTGAATTTTAAAGTAAAATTAATATTAATAGAAAATACTTTCCATGAAAATTGTCTTTGGGAAAATGTGATGCAAAAAATGAGGATGGCAAAAATAAATAAATGGATAAATAGATAGATGGATAAATATAAATATATAACCCTTATTCTTTCTATATTTATTTTATTTTATATACATTGATGACTTGATGGCATGTATGTCTGTGTAAGGGTATCAGAACCTCTGGAACAGAAATTACATACAAACAGTTGTGAGCTGCCATGTGGGCACTGGGAAATGACCCTGAGTCCTCTGGAAGAGCAGCCAGTGCTCTTAATTGCTGAACCATTTCTCCAGCCCCCACCCTTCTTCTTTTTTTAGACATATCAAGTACCTTTTTCGAGATGCATTTTCCTACTTTTTACCTAACAACTGTAAGCAGGAAGGCAATGTCACCATTTGTGCTTTTCGTTGACAGTTAGGAAATTCCATGACAGTCCCAGCAGCAACAGCAGTTAAGTAGCTATATGTGCAAGAACGAGAAGCAGCTGTTTCAGAGACCCACCCCACCCCCAACCCACCCCTGAGGATGGTTGATACAAAAATCCCCAAATCTGAAGGGGAAAGTCTCGATGCCAGGAATGTGGATGGAGACTGAAGGAGCCTAAGGTTTGAGATGAAGTTTTTAATCTTTAAGCGAATCATGCAAACGTTTGCCATCATCGCGTCAAACACCGGTGGATTCGAGAACTGCTCCAGAAATGACCAGATTCTAACTAAACTCTACATGCATGCCATGAAGATCACATTGCCGTTGTGCCTCCATGTGAAAGATAACATAGTGTCACATGTGGAGGACCCTGGAGATGTTCGTGGAACTTTTTCTACATAAGCCCGTGATGAGGTAGATAAAGACGAATGCACAAACAAGGTGATAGAACGTTGACTGTGCATTTATGTAAATGATCACATAATGCAAATGTGTTATGATTGATATGATGCGCATAAGAGAAAAATTGATTAGCATAACTACACACCTTTACTAAATATCAGATGAAAATGAGTATGTGTGCTTTTATTCCTCTTGATGATACCATAAAAACTGTGTTTTGACTGTTTGCTGAAGTTAACTAGAACCCTGGATCCCAGATGGAGCTCTGTGATTCTTGGAACATTATAAAATTGTTCAGCAGATCTCGGTGCTAATTGTTTAATGAATGAATGAATTAGGAACCAGTGAATGAATGGACAAGAGGGTATTAGTTACAGCCTGTGGAGTGAATTCAAGTCATTGTTAGTTCTGTCTGTTGGTTTCATAAATACTTCTTACTGTTTGTTCTCCAGTTCATTCCAGCAAGAAACGCTGTGAGATTTGGAAGAGAATTTTCTGGGACTTAACTGAAACACGGAAGCAATCAAGTGGTTGAATTCCGGGTTTTTCCAATTGAATGACATTCCTTTATCCGTATTGATTTGGGCTTTGGTAAATTCAATTGGTGATACCACCTGGATGATTTTAAGACTCTCTGAAGCTTTTTTTGTTTGTTTTAAGTTTCCAACCTAGCTCAAGGAACATAAGAATTTCATCAATTGAAAACTAAGAATCGTTTCTGTGGGATGTGTAAAACAAGAAGCTGACCAGCATTCTGTTCTTTTTCTTTAATTCAGCGTCATTATTGAGAGTTATTCTTGGACTTTATGAAAACCAGATTGAAGCATGGGCATGTTCTCTGTCGGATTGTGTTCAAGGAATTGGAACTGAAAATCATTCAAACCAGGAAAACATGACATTGAAAAATAGTCGGTATTTTTTTCTTCTACCTCACACTTTCTGACTAGAGAGTCCTATGTGGATCCCAGATCTGTTTTTATTTTCTGTTCTTATTAAGAACTGGACAGGTTTTTTGCAAGATGTGGTGGTACATGCCTTTAATCCCAGCCCTTGAGAGGCAAAGACATCAGATCTCCTGTACTTACTCAGTTTTCCACAAAGACTTCAAACTCTAACCCATCCCCTTCCATAAAGTCTTTATAGGTAACCTGCTTTTTCCAATCCACTACCTTCATTGAACTAAATGTCATCTTCTGTGGACATTGAGTGCACGTGCACATACAGAGAGAGAGAGAGAGAGAGAGAGAGAGAGAGAGAGAGAGAGAGAGAGAGAGAGAGAGAGAGAAGACTACACACCTATGTGTGGGCCAACCATCCTGGTGCACCAAGATACAACAGATAAATAAATTTTATCTTCCTCTTTATTTGCCAGGGCACATGACTGCCCTCATGGTGATGTCAATACCAAGGGGTGCCTTTCCCTGCTTTACACGAAGGCACCGCCTCCACCAGCAGTGGCTCTGCTCATCTGAACCCGTGTTTCTTCCATTCCCTTTAGCAGAGCACACATCTGTTGAGGCCTTTCACTGTGCCTTTATTTACATCATTCTTGGTATAATGCCTTCTTTATACTGAGTAAGTTCTCAGCAACTGTTCATTGAGTTTAATTGAAAGAATGAAATGTGTTTATTGAAAACACTACTTCAGCTTATAAATGCAATATGGAAAGTGCTTTAGGAATCCAGAGGAACGTAGCAGATGTGGGACTTGTCTGCCTTTAAGTGCCTCAACTAACTTGTTTCATTTCACATGAACTGCAGTGCCTAGCAATCTTTTGTGGAATTTCAGAAGCCACGCTGTGACATTATGACAGAGCATGGTCAAGTTGGATTCAAGTCCATTTCTGGCTGCTTGTTAAAATAGTCAAAGGGCACCATTAACATTTGCCTGAAGTGGGCAGGAAAAGGTCATGGAGAATATCCATGGGAGGTGAGAGAACTTTGGAAGGAGCAAGTTGGGTCCATCTGAGGTCAGAATACTTCCTAGAAGTCTCCATTATACCAATAAAATAAAATAAATAAAATTCACAGTTAAAATTCTTGAAGCCAGAATTTCTTTGCCTCTCTGCTGCATTCAGAGTAAAGAACTGATTTGGTCAGGGCCTGAGTAGGAGAATTAATACTGTTTCTGTCATAATTTTATTCACGAGATGAGAAATACCCATAGTGCACGATACATAGACCACAGAACAATGATGTATTTAAGATAGGTTTTACGCCTATTCGGCAACATAGCCAAGAGTTCAAATTTCAGATTTCAAGGAGGAAAGCCATGGGCTGACCTCTAAAAAATTCTGTGTTGGTGTATAAAGTGTCCTACTATGTATTTACCAACTCAAATTAATATTACTTTGTATCTTCCAGGAGGAATTGAACTTGTCTCGTGAGAGATTTTCTGTCCAAGAAGAAAACAGACAATTCAATGACCCTTAACTATGTTTTTTTTTTCTTCTCTAACACAGTCTTCTGTGATGTCAGTCTGCTTTGCCCGTTTTCATCCTAATTTGGTGGTTGGTGGCACCTACTCGGGCCAGATTGTACTCTGGGACAATCGGAGTCATCGAAGAACCCCTGTTCAGAGGACCCCCTTGTCGGCTGCTGCACATACAGTAAGTTAAGCTTCTACCACACCCCTGTAAACTCCCCAAGCCCCGAGAGGAGAAGCAGCTCATAGGACAGCAGTGTGGCTGAGGTAGAAGTAACGAATTTATAGGGACTGAATCCTTCCTAACTGACTAAAATATGGCTTAGTGAAAAGTAGATAAAACATGATGTCACATGCCTCTAACCCTGCATTCTAGAGGCTAAGACGGGAGGATTGCAAGTTTGAAGGCAGTCGGTTTTACACAGCCAAACCTGTTTCCAAAAAGAAAAATGTAGGCTAAAAAAGCATTAGCTTATATTAGGAGTCACAAACAGATTGACCTCTATGAGATCTGGACACCAGCCTAGTCTACATATTAAACTCCAGGCCAGCCAGGACTACAGAAGAAAAAGCACTTGCTTGGTAAGTGTTGGTGAATGCCTTTAATCCCACCTCTCTGGGGAGGCAGAGGCAGGCAGATCTAAATTCAAGGACTGCCTGCTCTACACAGTGAGTTTTATGACAGCCAAGGCTACACAGAGAAGCCCGATCTCAATTTACAAACAAGCAAGTAAACAAATAAAAAAGTCACTGACTTTGGAGAAACATGTTAATAATCTTAACTTTCTGTAAGTTTAAGTTTGAACACATAAAAAGCTCTTCTGTGATCTTCCAGGGGTCATGAAATTTTGAGATGCAAACTTATATTTCAAAATAGACCGCAGAGCGTAAGTACCATGCCTAGTGATAGTACATGGGACATGTGCCAACATGCCTCTTCCATTTGCAATTTGAAAGAGTACTATGACTTTAAATTCGGGAATGTGTAGTGTTCTCAACATGAAGTCTAAGGTGACAGTATAATCTCCAAGGTTAAAAATCAACATCTCAAACCTATTACCCATAATTTAGTAGAAGAGGCTCAGCACAGTGTTCACAAGACAACTGCTCTGTCATTTCCTTTAAGAGAATGACAGGTGTGAAGAGCAATTGTTACGAGGGATGAGGAGACAGGCATGTCTCCATCAATCGCTGCTACCCTGACATTCAGGGTAGCTGATGTTCCTTCTCTGAGATGCCTAAATTATGTCCAAGGATACAGCCCTAGCATTGTTTTCAATTTCCTTAATGCGGTTGCTGTATTGTTTCATCTGCTGGCCCCAAAACCATTCCAGCTTAGAAAATGGGTGGCTGTCTGCTTAGCTGAAACAAGGAGAAAGGGAAATTCTCCTGCTCTTGTTAAGCTGGAGAATTGGAAATGACAAATGCCAAGTCAGTTCTAATTTTGGTTGACTGGGGCCAAAGACTCATGCAGGTAAAAATGGTTCTTGGAAATCTTGGAAAATTGATCTTACCTACCCTATTTCGCCAAACTAATAACAGAAAATTGTGGCCCAAGAGAAGACCAGCCAATCCAGGTGTCTCCTCAAGTAGAATAAAACCTATTCCTCGGCTCTCTGTGGATGTCTGGTGCATTTGTGAACAAGCTTTCAGTCTTTCAAAAATTATAAATCCAACTGTTGCAAGATTTAGGAAAAAGCTTTTGGGGGAATTCCAAATTCAGGAGTTCTCACAAAGCCTTACCTTTTCTTTTCCAAGTAATGAACAGTGTGACCATCTCGAGTAAAAGCAGCTATGATCAAGCTGAGAGCTATTATTTCTGTTAGGAAATAAAATACAAACAAATTTATTCTCTTGCTTGCTGTGTTTTGTCTAATCCATCCATAGCTCAATGTGTACAGTTTGTTTTGTGTTTGTCTTTCAACTTCCATCATGGCCTGGCTGATTGGTACCAGGATCAAACACACAAACAAAAAGCTCTCCACAGATGACTTGCTAATTCCTTTCACACCCACCACACATATGTATTTGGGACAACAGGAAATCATGATTAAAACAAAATCCTTCTGCTGCACAGTGCATTTATTCCTAAACTAAATAAAAGCAATCTGGCATTTCTATGGAGAAAAAAATAAAAGAGCTATACTGTTGCCTTTTTGTTCATTTCTTCCCAGTCGGTAGAGGTTGTGACATTTTCTCTCTATTGAATAGAGATGTGTACTTGTGGTCTTTGACTCAATGTCTCCTCTAGACCTGTCTCCTCTCCCTCCTGCATCTTTAGGCTTCTGAACTGATTACAGTTTGGGTCTCGATGGGAAATTAAATTCCATTTGAGTCTTTCTTTAAAAAAACAAAAAAAAAAAGATCCCAGGTACCCTTCAATTCACAGCAATGAAGAATGCTTTTCACTCAAAGGGACAAAGGAAACGTACATCAGTGTAGTGCCTTCTGAGATGAGTCAGAATAAGTCAAACAACAACTTCCTGAATGTTCATTCCCTCGTATTCATCAGTTTTAATAAATCTGATATTTCATGTGAGATTGTTAGATCCATTTTTCCATTTAATCTCCACACTGGCCTTGACCTGCTCTATACCTCGTGAACTAAGTTTAATGACACAATGCTTTGCGTTCCAAAATACGAAAGACCTGAGAAAGACTGTTGGCTACAGTCTCACCCCAACTAGTCCTGTTATTTAGAAACTTGATTAATACAACATTTAGTTTCAAATATCTGTCGTATTTACCATTGTGTGGATCCCCTAATGCTCATATATGAGACAGCATCATTAGAAAGATGGCATGAAAAAGACATAGGTACGAACTATCTGTTCATCAACATGGGCAGAAGAGGAGAGAGCAGTTCAAAAACATGTGTACTCTTGTGATACACTATTATGACTTATGTTTCAATGCATTAAAAATGAAATCCCTGCTGCACAGATTTCAATACTGTGCAGTCAATTGTCAGCAGATGGTCCTGTATCGTTCTCAGGACGTTATCCTTAAAGAGCTTTGATAAACGACAGAAATTTGTTTGAAACAAAGAAAATGTCGAGAACTAGGAAGCTAAGAAAAAATCGAAGGAATTAATGATGGCTAGCTTAAAGAAAGAGGGATTAAGAGTGGAGGATACAAAACAGTAATCTAAGAATGTTCACATAGTTGTGTTGTTCTGATTTAAATGCACTGAGAATAGCTTCCCTGCTACCGAAGGGGAAATCTCTCAGTAGTTCCTGCTAACATTGACTGCCCTTTAAGAAAGGTGTTGCAAACAAGTTTGGACAAGCTCTAGGAAGAGGCAGCCAAGCAGCTACACTCAATGATTATTCCTGCTCTCTCTGACCAGGAGTTTATATGATAATAATAGTCTCAGAACCATCTTTCTGTAATACCAGTTTCCGACTATTGAAGGTTGTTTCATTGTAGTTGTGGCTAGGTATTATGGACACTAACTCAGCAAGAGTAAGGCTTAAACTGTCAGCTGTTTGTACAGAGAAGCATCAAGCAATCTGTGGTTTGGCCATTCGTGGCTAAGATGCCTGAAATCTAACCCCAATTGCTGTGAGATGCTGCTTATGCTAACCTTCCATTCTGTGTTTAGTGAACAGCTGCAGATGGTTTTATCCTACTGTGTAGAATTCTACAGAACAGGAACAGCTTCAAGAGATCTGACAGATGGCTAGTGCACCTTACTTAGTTTCCAGGATACATAAATGACCTTTGTCAAGGCTGAGGCCAAATTTATGCCTCCGTACATCTCTAACTGGTATTCTGAAAAATAAATCTCTCATCTTAGATTTTTAAATAACATGAAGGAAAACCTTACTAGGATGGTGGTGGCCCAGGCCTTTAATCTCAGCACTCGGGAGGCAGAAACAGGCCAATCTCCGTGAGTTCAAGCCAGTGTGGTCTACAGAAAGAGTTCTTAGACAGCCAGGGCTACATGGAGAAATCTGTATTAGAAAACCAAAAGAGAAAAGGGACAGAGGGAGTCAGGGAGGGAGTCAGGGAGGGAGGGAAGAAGGGAGGCAGAGAGGGAGGGAAGGAGAGAGAGAGGGATGGAGGGAAAGAGAAAGGGAGAGAGGGAGAGAGAGGGAGGGAGGGAGGGAGGGAGGGAGGGAGGGAAGGAGGGAGGGAAGGAGGGAGGGAAAGAGGGAAGGAAGGAAGGAGGGAAGAAGGGAGGGAAGGAAGGAGAGAAGGAGGGAGGGAGGGAAGGAGGGAGGAATAAAGGAAGGAAAGAAGGAAGGAAGGAAAGAAGGAAGGAAGGAAAGAAGGAAGGAAGGAAAGGAAGGA